AAAAAAGAGGGTCTGTTGATAAAGTCTTAAGAAGATTGGAACTATTTATTAGGAAGGGTGCTTTAAGGGGTGCCTCAAAGTATAAGTTGATAGCTAAATAAGGGAGGTTTACATTACGGGTGGTTGTGTAGGTGTGTCTGTTTTGGTGGTACATTGCCTGCCCTTATTAACCTCTCGTCCTCCATAAAAGTAGGAGGATATATCAAATATTGTGGAGAATTAATTTGCCCAGATACCTTGAAATTATAGGGCAAAGACACCAACTACATAGCTAAAATTTGTAATGATTAAAAAGTATTTACAGTATTTTTCATACAAATTTTCCTTTATGTATATTGTCTTTCTGAAAATTTCTAATCTATGAAATAATATAAATATGATAGAATCAAGATTATAAGGACAGTAAAATCATATTGTTACAAAAATATTATCGTTTTTGTCATCAAAACATCAGGTTCTGAATTCTGAACAAGCAACACATTTGTCATCAAAACAAGCATCAGGTTCGGAACAAGTTACACGAAAAAACCACACAGTAGCTTCATCGGCCTTTTCATTTGAATCAATGCATGTTGGTGTGTGAGTGTGATACGATAGTAAAAAAACCCGACAAGGACGGACTTTTCCCGAATAAAACGAGCAAAACCAAAGTGAACTCATTTTCTCTAGAAAGTGCACCAACAACAATTATCAAGCACTTTCCAACATCCACAGGGAAACAAGCTGAGCTTGATATAAAGGGGCCATCCCATTAAGACAAAATAAGAGGAATGCAGCCAGAATACTGAGCTCTACATAAAGTTTCTTGTTCAAGTTTTTTTTTTTTTTCTTATATATATATTTATATTTCGGTTAACAAGGCAGTCAGTTTGATGTTAGATCTCTCAATCCTGGACCTTCTCAGGTTGTTTCTTATTTTTAAGCCGATACCACACATAGACAGCAGGAAAGCCAACAATACCGACAAGACAAGCAACTTTATCTCTGTCAAGCGATTCTTGAGAAGCTGAGGACGACTGCCCGACATTCGGCTTAGCATCAGCTACAGATCCCGAGCCTCCAGTGCGAGTTGCGGGAGATTCATCTGCTTTGGGACCCTTGAAACAATCAAACATCAATGCTTGAGTAAATACAAGTAATGATATATGGTATAATTGAATACAATGACAAACCAGAAACGCAAACATACACATGCATGCAAATTCGGTTTATTTCTTTTAATAGAGCAAACGGAATGGATTTTAGATATTATGTACCTTACGGAGCTTCTCCAACTTATCTTTTTCCATTTTCTGCCAAATTTTTCAACAAAAGGTTCAGATGTAAGATGACTATACAGCAGTGTTGTTGAAGTAGAGACATGCACTTGCCAAAGAACTAAATAAAGAAGCAGTTCTATAATGACTCATATTGACATGTAACCACAGATGAATTATGAGTCAGGAAATTTAGCAGTAATAATTCCCTCAATTATCATGTGGTTAGAGAATTAGATCAAGTATAAACTCCAACATACAACATATGGAGAAAAAGAAATGCTATATCATCATATACTTGAAATAAGAAAATCATGAATTGCCCTTGGTTTAAGATGTAGTTTAGAAAGCATGATAAGGGAATAATAAAGCTTCAGAAATGATTTAATAATTTTTCATATGTTCCTGTTCAGATAGAGGACCAAGCAAAACAACCTGCCATGCAGAGAGCACCACAATACGGTAGGTTGTCAAAATTTGACTATATATTGTGCCATAACCTTGAATTTACCTTAATATATATATTTTCTGCAGCCTTCTCCTCCTCACTGAGGACTTTTCCACCGCTTGAGAACCTCCGTGAGATATATCTAGCAGCAATCCTCGATGCCATAGTGACACAAGTGTTTCCTGGTAACCTATAAAATGTGGCTGTATAAGTACACTTAACGTAATTGCTGTTGATTCGCACAAAAGTGAGAGCAACTTCTATGCCACTTGCAAATTAGCAAAGTGACTGAATTCTGGAACAAAACAACAATCTAGCTTTGACTACCTATTGAGTACTCTGAGGACTTTCACATTATAATGGCTCTCAAACTATCCAAACACGTTCATTTTCTTCCTTCAAATACATGACTAATCTCAAGCAATGAAAGTAAGTCCATATGCGGAAAGGAATGACCTAGAATGAAATTTATCTGTTACAGATACACCTGCGAAATTAGCATATTCCATCTTCAGTTTCCTAACCTGCCATTAAGCCCAAACTTCTGCATCTAGTATTATCGCACATTATCAGCAAAATGAAGCTTCATCAAAGAATCTCGAAAGGCATAAGATACAAGGAGAGAGTTATAAATCCTAGTAGTTTGTTTGAAATAAAGAAACATGGTCCCAATTTGTCTGCTCGAGAAACTTATCTGTCATTAGCTTCAAAAAGTGGGCTATATAGTGAACAAGAAAACCATTCCTTGAGATTAGGAGACATATGAATCCGTGTTTTTGCAAGTTGTAATTCAGAAGGAATACATGTCCATAGGTTCCAAAAGACAAGTTCAAAGCAATACAGCCCACCAACTGTTGGCATAGTACAAAGCAATGGTTGATGATAGGAAAAGATATGCAATTATTCAAGAAGCAACAACAACAACAACATACCCTGTATATTCCCAACAGGTTGGGGTATGGGGGGTCAGTTGTACGCAGACCTTACCCTTGTAATTATACAAGGAGGCTGTTTCCGTAGCGACCCAAGGTGCGCAATTATTCAAGAATCATCCTCTTCAAATGTCCAATGAGCAGAGGCCTCTGAGCAAGCTCGACTACAACCACCCGAAAATGAAGAGAAATTTGGACAGGCCATATAAATTAAAGATGGAGTACATTACATGGAAAGGATTTATGACGATCATTCAAAAGACCGCTCACAAAACAAGAACTAGTTACTAGGAAACCAGTGAATGAGTGTTAAGTCATATACTACAGATAAAATTATGCTTCTAGGTCAATTTTGACAATACACCTCTTCCATTAATAGGCTAATAAAGATTAAGTATCAGTGGCCAATGCCTCGACAACGGAAAGGAATCAAACTCATAGTTGTTGCAAGCACTGTGCGCAGAAACCATAAACAAAATTCATGCAGATGCTACATGACACAGTTTCAAAGCAACTCCTCCATATTTTGTTAAGCATGAGTTCTACAGACAAAATCAACAATCCATGAGTGAATTCTTTAAGTAATCCCGCACAGTCTCAATAAATTGATGAAGGTGGTGCTGATTTGATAAACTACCATAACAGCACATAGATTTTAGCACACAGAACCAGGCAATATCCAGCTATGTGAAAGAAACCACCTGAGTAAACGATTATACGAAATATACTCCTATATCAAGCACGCTAGAAGAAAACCCAAAATACTACAGCAGGTAAAAACAAACTCCTGCGGTAAGCACCAATACATGATAAAGTAGTGTAAGAAATCCATAAGTCACCTCAAAATAGACCAGATAAATAAAATGAAGGGAAAATCCGACCTATCAGAAGTCATGGAAAACAACATGCTAACACCATGAGACGGCAGAAAAAGCAACACAAAGGATAATCGCAAAGTTCTTAGCTGAGATATTGCTTCAACTCAAACAATAACAGAAAAACCAAAGTCCGTACAAGCTCATCAGTTCACATAAATCAAATAAACAAAGAAGTAGCGAAATGTAAGCATTTCCATGTACAGATAGAGATGTCTATGGACATGAAGATCGAGTTTGTGCAGTAGCTACCTGCGCTGAGATATAGCAACTTTGGAGTTTTGGGGAGTTGGATTTTGAATATGAGTGAAGTATTAATTAAATAATATGGTAGCCTATGTTGACGGAAGAGACCGAATAAATAAGAAATAAGGACGTGCCATTTGCAAACTTGATTTTATGGGCCGGGGCCCAAAGATGGTGAAACCGCTTTTTCTTGTTTCTTTTAGACAAATTAAAAAGACCANTTATCAAAACAATATTCCAGAAGGGCGGGCGGATTAAAACTGGACCCCCAACCTGTATATAAAAATGCCCTAAATGGATTGAAAAATTACAAGTCTGCAAGTCCAATGTCTGATATTCATCAAGCCAAACGAAAACAAAAACAGAAAGAAACAAAGAAACAAGAAAAAGCTGACAACAACAACAAGTAACACAAAAATATCAGATCCTGGTCTGCGAAGAGTCTAGGCGAAAGGTCAGCATCACAGGGGAGCAGATGCACCAAAAGGCAAGATCAGCTACACAAATTTGAATGAAGGATATCCTATCTGGTCCATGCGTATAAGGGTACGTACGGAGGCAGAGAGGAATATCGTCAGGATAAAGAGTGCATCTTTGGAGGATGGAGGACCTTATGCCAGCAAGGAAGTCAGCAGGTTGGTTCCCCTTGCGGAAGATGTTCGAGATCCAAAAGTGAATCGACCGAAGTGTGGCTCTAATACCATGAGAATATGCTGAATCTGCCACGTGCCGTGATGGCCAGAGGTCAAGAGAGTGATGACAGCGACAGCGTCCAATTCTATCTAAATGTGAGAGGAGATCGAGGCAGCAATCTGAAAACCGATCTGAAGCGCCTGAACCTCCGCGTCATAGCTCGAGGAGGCCCAAAGAGGGACATGGAAAGCGGTAATAAGAGCACCGCTATGGTTCCTAATCAGGCCCCACCTCCTACGGCTCTGGTAAGTCGGTCAAAGGATCCGTCAGTATTTAGCTTAACCCAAGGAGACTCGGGTCTCAGTCAAACAACAGCTCTGGGCTGTGGATCCTGGACAGGCGGCAGTGGAGGTGGTGCAAAGCGATAAGGTGGCGTGCAGCCTATCCAGTCTCTCGGAGTGAGTCTGCCCAGAGTAGTGAGGAGAGATAGACGTCTGTCAGCCTGCAAAATAATATGGGAACACAAAAAAGAAATATTCCTATGCTTCACATTACTCATTTCTGTCCAGATGGACCAAAGGATTAGATAAGAAATAAGAAAACCCAAGTGCCTATCGT